GGGGCAGGTCGAAACAATGAGGGCCTGAAAATGGCCCTCCGTTTCAGGCTGAAAACTCTGGGTGTGAAAAGACCCAGAAATAGGCTGAAACGGGGCAGGGCCTGCAGGCCCTCGTTTTTCAGCTTCCAGGCTGACACGAACGGGGCCTGTAAGCCCTAAGTTCTAGGCTTTTAGGCTGAATGTCCGGGACGGGCCCTGCAGGGCCCGTGTGGCTACGCAGTATGCCACGCCCCCCCCTCCTTGAAGAACCGAGCTTACCTGCGAGGGCGAAGCTGTCTGTCTGAGGGAGGGACAACAGTCCGGGTGGGAGGGGCTGGTCGTGAAGCTTCCTGAGCTAACCTCTGCTTCTCATAATGCGCGTAGATCAGCGGTGCGGATGCTTTCAAATCTGCGCCTGAAATCCACCGAGTGTCGTCGCGATCGCATGCTTTGAATGTGACTTTGTACTGCCGCGGCTTGCTGTCGTACTTGCGATCGGAGATGACGCGGTCAACTTCCTGATGGCCATCCATAGAAGGAGGGTCCTGCGATCGTCGGTCCGGAAAGTCGTCGCTCTTGGCTGGCGTGTATGTTGCCAGCTTCGAGGCGTGGAAGACCGGATGGACCGTCAGATGCTCTGGAATGTTGATCACAAATGAAGGGCCATCGAGCTCATCGCCCGCGGCTGCTGTCACAGACCAAGGTCCAAACCACTTGGGAAGCAGTTTGCGTGAAGCATCCTGTTCCAGTGCAAACTCTTTCACGGAGACCCAAACCAGATCACCGACGCGCATGGGACATGGTACGCGACGCCTGTTGGCTTGCTGCTGCATGCGGACTTGAGCCTTTTGCATATTTGCGAGGGCTTGAGTCAGCAATTCCCTGTACTTCCGGACGGAAGCGGGAGAGCAGGCAGTGTCACTGTCGGCTGGTCGAGGGAGGAGAAGGTCGGCGAAGATCCGGCCTTTCCGTCCACCGTGGTGCAACTCAATGAAGTCACGCCGATCGCCGGATGCACCGAAGTGTTGTAGGCGAACTCGATGTCGGGGAGGAGGTCAACCCAATCTTTCTGGTCCGGACAGATGAGCGTACGAAGCATCATTTGAGCGGTTTGATGTGCCCGCTCCGTCTGCTCGTCTGTCTGAGGATGTCGAGCCGAACTTGGTTTCATTGTTGTGCCGGACTCCTGCATGAGAGCAGTCCAAAACGCCGACATGAAACGAGTGTCGCGGTCGCTGACAATGTCTTCT